GGCCCCCGCCGGGGCGGGCGTCGGTGCCGGCGTCCCGGCGGGAGTCCCGGCGGTGGCTGAGGAGGGGCCCTGCGGATGGGGCCGCTGCGCCCCTAAAGCTCTGCAGCTCTGCAACAACCCTGAGGGCTACTTGGCTGCCTACAGCCTCCTGGCTATCTTCCAAGGTAACCCGTCCCCGCCACCTTGCCGTGAGCCGCAGGCCTGCTGCCCTCCTCTCCACCTTCCCTGTGGGACCCGGCCCCTGCAGGGCTTCTGGGGTCCTGGGCACATCTCGCTCTCAGTCCTGGAGCTGCGGGGGAAGCCGGGCTGGAGCCTGGGCTGGGGAAGGCAGGGGAAGAGTGGTGGCGATTTGGACGGTGGGTGAGGGGAGGTAGGGTTACTCTAGCTGCCCGAGTCTGGTGGTGTTGCTGAAGAGTGACAGCAGTGGCTTCAGTAGTCCCTATTAGGGATAGGGCCCTGGATAGGGAAGTTGCTTATGCAGTATTGTGCTCTGTATTTCACTCTGTTCCTCCTTTTCTTTTTTTTCTGCCTGCCTTTTAGACCACCGCAGAGTCCATAGTGTAGTGCCATCAGCTCTGTGCTTAATGCTCTTGTCTATACTGCGTCCCTGTTGCTCACAGGGAAGTAGCGCACCATGAGTCTCACAGGTTGAGACATATGAGCCAGGGAATAAACCACATGATATAAACCAATAGATAAAACTGTAGTGTTGTAGCATGTGCTTTGTTACCAGCCTGCCAATGAAAAAACTACTTTGGTATGGTTGGGTGGGACTTTGGGTAATTAAGATGGCTTTAAAAAAAAGTCTGGTTTTGTTCTCTGGATCCCAGTGCAACTATCTTTCTCATACTTGACTAACAGCTTAACTTAACCTTGGAGGGAACCTGAAGTTTAGCTTGCTCTTAATTTCTGTTGTTCAGCTTCAGATATTCTTGTCTGTGTTTTTGGTTTTCTGTATCAAGGTTTTTAGGGCCTTGGCAAGCCTTAGGTTTAGCAAGTAGTAAGAATGGCTGAGGGGGAGCAGAAGCATTAGTGTACCAAATGTACAAACTTGAGGTTTGTAAAGCTTAGATGTTTGTCCGTCAAATGGAGCTATTGGATTAATGTTCAGAACCCTTCAACATTATTGGACTAGCTAGAAAAGAAAACTGTATTTCCTGAAAAATTATGAGGCTTTAAAGCTCATCCTTGTTGCTCATAATGAATGAGACTGCTGTAGAGGGGTGGGGAGAGATGTAGAAGAAGAGATTTAGTGCTAGAAGAGCAGGCAGCATATGCTGCTGATGTGGTATATGGATGGCTGCGTTCCTGCCTGGAACCACACTGAGGTAACTGGGATGGTCTGAGGAGAACTGAGCAGGAGGTTCTGCTTAAAACCTAGAAGGATCTCGCTGCCATTTGTGTTGCTTGAAAAAGTCTTACAAGAACCAGTGTCTCTCAGTATGTGTTTCCATTTCAACCTGTTTAGAATATGATCTTTTCTTAGTATATGTGTTGTGTTAGAAAAGAAGTATCTAGAAAGTTTTGGGCAGAGCCTGATCCTTGCTTGTATTTGAAAGGCCATGCTACAGGTGGTAGGACCAGGAGGTTATTACTGTTGCAGTTGTGCTGCTGTTAGAGAAAATAAATTTGTGTTAACATAGTAAAAAGAAAGGGAGGGGTGGAAGAACTTCTTACATAGCAGATTTCAGTGGCAGCTGAGTAGTAGAAGACTTTTAGATCATGCATGTATATTTTTGTAGCTTAAGAATACAGATAGGCAGCCAAAAACGCCCTGAATGTCACACTGAAAAGTTTCAGATTATATTGCACTATACAAAGTGCCTTGAATATTTCTAGCACTTCTAAATTTGCCATAGCAATATTTCTTAAAATCCAGTTTGCTGTGCTGATCTGATTGTCAGCTCAGCTGGATAATGAATTCAGTATCATTTAAATTTTATCTCTTAGTAGTAGTGTGGGTAGGTTCCCAATCATAAAAAGGTCTTGTATCATAAGAATAAGACAGAGATCCCCTTAGGATACTGTGGGTGTTGGTTATGCTACTTATCTAGGTGTTGGTCCTGTTATCTAACTGTAGATGTATGCCAGACCTCAGAGAGGTACGTATCTAATCTAGTTTGGATTTAGGGCCTTAATGTAAGGAAACTTCTGATGCTTGTTTTGAAAGCTGATGTAGTCATGGCTATTACGGACCTTGTGGCATTCTTAATGATGTATTATCTGGATTTTCTGAACAAGTACCTTTTCTTTGGCTAGAGCATAGAAAGGATAATTGGGCACTGAAGACTCAGGTTGCAACTCTTCTTGAGAAGCAAAAAAACAAGAATCATTTTCAGACAAGAAATTCAGTGCTGCATGTGAAATTGCAGAAATATTCAGGTCTTGCAGCTTCAGAGTTTAGGTAAAAGCACACAAAACACAACTGGGGTTTTAAAGTTGTGAGCTACTACTGCATTCTAGCTTTGGGTCTAATTATTTAATTTACGCTCCAAATTACAGAAACTATCACTGAGGAACATAAAATATATTTATAAAACTTGCTAATGCTAATGTACTAGGAAAGCTTATTTCCTAATGCGCTGAAGAACAAAGAAGTAATCCTTAACACACTTTTGATGTAAGTAAGTTGTTAACTAGACTTTTTACATAATGAGTGAACACAGTAGGTAGTTATCTGCAGTGACCTCGTACATGTGCATAGATTTTTTTTGTGTGTGTATCTAACTGAAGGCATGTATTTATTAGGTTATTTTCTAGCTGCCCTAGAAAAGAGGTTATTGTTATCATTAGCACCTGATTTGCTGTGTTTCAGCTTCTCAGAAGATTCCAGGTGAAACTTAACTCTTAATTTTTGGCTGTTTCTGTTTCGAAACCTGTATTACCAGAATAGAAAACACTTCTTTGAGTAGAATGTGGTTACATGACTAATACCTGCTTTCTGTGTGGCACTTAGTTGCATAAATGTATGATTGCATCTTGTAATACAATAACCGGATATGCTGCAGTTCATGGCTGTAACAGCAAACAAAGTAGAAGTTGTCTCACTATTTTGAGTACAAGAAGGTCTGTTTATTCCTCATGTCAGTAATAATTTTATTAAACAAAACAACAGAACCACTGTTTGAGACTGGCCCAGTCTAATCTGTCTGAAAACTTTGGATACCACTAATATTTTATACCCTGATTAGATTTGTTACTGGAAGGACTTTTTGATAATTTTTTCTTTTTTAATTGGGTGTCTGCAAACCACTGCTTTAAAGCTACCATACTTAGAACAACTGTAGAACATGTTTTTTTTAAATGGATGAAGAAAAATACTAGTTTTCCATTAGAGCAAATGAAGTTGATTTATGTTTAATCTGGATTTTGTGGGTCAGTACATGCTGTACCTAAACTTCTAACAGATGTGGCAGGGCTGTAAGGTTTTAGATGAAAATAGTTAAAAAATAATTAATATACTAGTATTTAAGTGTTGAGATGTCCTTGTAGGATTTGTTTTTCAGATCAAGTTAGTATCAGCCACGTTCCATCTTTCCTGAAGAAGCTTTAGTGATTAATGCCTAGATGATGGCATTGAAGAAAGTTATGCTGCCATTCATCACATTTACATTTTTACAGATGAAATACAATTATACAATAAAATTAACTGCAAGGTTTTATGGCTTTTCGGATGTAAATTAAATGTGCCAACTTAAACTACAGGTAAAAGAAAATGTCTTCTAGTTCTGTAATCAACTTGCCACGTAGCACACCTACTTTGTGTGAATGTTTTAAGGCCTTAGTAAATGTTTGAAGTGCTGGTAAATGGGAAAAACTTGTTTGTTCATTCCTTTATGCTAGTGTTGTTCTTCGGTTAATGTTCCTTAAGAAAAAAAGAAGAAAGCTGCAAAATATATAAATAATGGCAGTGGAGTAACACCTGAATACTTCTTTTAGGCCCAAATGAATTTAAGTGTGGTGGTCAGACTGAGGGGTGAAATTGTCATGCTTAATAAAGAGGCCATAGGAGGGTATTAGAAAATTAAGGCTGTGCCAAGAGCTGCCTCCTTATAGACAACTGAAGTGTTTAGTTATGGTGGGGATTGCACTGATAAGAAAACAGCTGGTTGATTACACATTTGGAGCAATTTTTTTTCTTTTAATATGTAGAGCACTCTAGGCGGATCTGTTCAAGTTCAGCCTGTGTAGTTTGCAATGCTTGTTGAAAACTAACTTAAATCCATTGCTGTTCCTAGCCATCTGTCCTTCTGGTCTGGTCTTGGAATGACAGTAGAGAATTATGTTTGAACTTTAGAAAGAGGAAGGATAATTGTAGGGTCTGTGTCATGAGATGCTCATCCGTCATCTGTGAGGTTACAGAACTCTTAATCTTATTTGCCACTGTGACTCCAAGACTTCCTAACTTTTTTCCGGGGTATATATTTTATTACAGGCACAGTTTAATTAGACTACCATGAAGTTATCTGACACTGTTATGAAGTACAGCTATTCATCTCACTTGTAATAGGATTCTGTTTTGAGACTGTTGAAAGTAAACTCCTGTGAGTTTAACTACTTGGTGTTTCATGTACAAGCAGAATGTGAGGCAGGATGGGAGATTCAATTAGTATCTACAAGCAACACTTATGTAGAAATGGACAGTGTGTATAAGCATACAGTGGCGATTGCAGCTTACTTGCTTCTACTTTTGGATCAGTTTTTTGGAGTTTGCCTGTGCCTAAGTAGGGCAGCTTGTGCAAGACCTTTTCTCCAGGGAACTTCAAGATTCAGAGGGCAAACTTTTTTCTCAGTTAAAGTAAATCACCTCAGTTGGTCTGAAACAGTTGCAAAGTACTTCAAATAGCTTTACGCTTTTTTATATTATAGGGAAGGATGTCTATTCAAAAGCTTTCTTGTGTCTTCCCTTTGTGATGGCAGGGAGGAAATTATGTTTGTTTGACAATCATGATTTGAAAGCTATGTCCTGAACTTGCTTCAGTCATAGCTTGTATTCTGATGCAAGTCATAGCCTTGACTAATTTCCTTTTAATGTGTACAGAATCTTATGACGCTGTAATGCATTCTGTTTGGAATCTGTCTTTGCTTCAAACTGAGTCTGGAACTTTAATATATGAACAGATTTTGAGGCATGGTATTTCGCTGGCTTACTGCTTGAGTGTTGAATCTTTAACACCCACAGGAGAGAATAAAATTGAATAGGTCCTGTACAGTTTGGCTGGCTTAAGTTGGCACTGTATCAATTAACTATATACCTGGATTTTAAAGCTAATAAAAAATACCTTAAAGTGTAGCTTTGTAAATGTATTCATTTTAACCCTTCCATCACACAATGGTAAGTTTACCCTTGCAACTCTTATCAAATTAAAGTATCTTTGACTAATTATCTCCTTTTTTTTTTGTAGGTATTGTGGTAAATGGCCTGATTAACATTAGTATTTCAACAATTGAGAAGCGTTATGAGTTGAACAGTTCCCTCACTGGCTTAATCTCTGCAAGCTATGACATTGCTTTTTGTATATTGTCACTGTTTGTATCTTTCTTTGGAGAAAGAGGGCACAAACCACGATGGCTTGCTTTCTCAGCGTTTATGCTAGGACTGGGCTCACTTATATTTTCCTTACCACACTTCAGTAGTGGAAAATACCACTATGGAGCTAAACTTGAAGGTAAGCTTATCCTTATGTTTTGAAAATTATTTAAAAAAAATAAATCCTTGTAGTGACTTGGTGCAACTCTTAATTTGGTACAACATACTTAATCTCTGTCAAAGTCCTAAAAATAGGATATTATCTCTAACACTGGAAAATAAAATGATTCTGTAAGTTCAAGAGCTCTCTCTGCACAGTAAACTTTGTTTTTCAGAAGAGATCTGAGTGTAAATATCATTTCTTGCTCATAAGCAACATCTGAATAAAATGCTTTTTGACTTGCATTGATGAATGCAGTTAAAATTCACTTTGAGTAAAAAAAATGATCTGGCATGTCTTTGTGAATAGGAATGCAAGTTAGGTTGGTGATGTAGAATAAATGTTAAAGGAAAGCTGTTAGACTTCTTGTCTTGTTGAAAGGTGACTACATGTTGCTGTTCTGTATTTTTAACTATTAAAGGCATCTTGAGTAATTCATTAACAAGTTTCACTAAGTTCTTCTAAAATGTTGGTTTAAACTTGTGGGTTATTTTGAAATAAAGAGGGAACAAGCAGTACTGAACTATACTGAACAAAGCACTACTGAAATTGTGGGAGTAGCCAGCTCTCAGATTGTACCTACCTTTTCTCATAAAACAAGAATTCAAGTGCTGTGTGCTTAATGCCAACTATTTGCATGTCAACTTAGTGGCACGCCTGTAACTAATGAAGAAACATCCAGATATTTTTAAAGCAGGATTACTTAATCTTTTAGGATTGTCTTAATTGTTATTGCAGTGTTTAATCAGATTTATGCCATCAATGACTAAGCATATTGGAGCGCTCACTAAAAAAAATCAGTAGCTATTAAGCAATCTGATGGAAGGTTCTCAGTCTTCTGGTTGTTGATTCTCAAATTGGTTCTTTTAAGTGTTAATTATGTCACACGCTTCCATGAGCTGTCTAGACATTGACATTAGTTAAATAACTTTGGTAAGCTATTGTTCCGCATCTAATAAATGAGGATCTGAGGCAGAAGTTAATTGAACTTTTAACTGAACAAGGCCAAAAGGAAAAGCTCTTCAGTGGTTGGAGGCTATGAAGAGATGATTACTTGCTACCCCTTAGTAGAGGGGCAACAGCTTACTTGCTACTGGCTCTATTACAGTCCTATTTCTCTACAATTTCAGTTTCAGTATTACCTTCCCTACTTTACTAGTATGGAAGGGAAGCTGAATTTAATACAAAGAAAGTTCCAACCTGATTGTAGGTTTTTTTATTGAAATAAGATACTGACAGGGTGGGAGTGTGAAGGGAGATGGTCAAGTGTTACAAACGATCTCTTCCCCCTCCTACCAATTTTGGTTGAAATCTCAAAGAATCTGTCCCTGTTTCATCAAACATCTGCCATTTCATCTGCCATTAAAGATGCTGTAGGTGTTGATACCTTATTAGGGCTCATGTTCTACATGGACTTTTGAAATCTAAAACTGTAGTGAAAATTTTAAATGGAAAGTGTGCTTTCTTCTCCATGGCACTGTAAGCTGACTGAATTCGTGCTGTTTTGACTGCTGTAATGCAAGTACCTATGCTGCAACTGTGGTGAGCAGATTTAAGGACTTAAGCTGACTTAAACAAAACAGTATCCAAGATAAATGACTGCAGAGTGCAGGGAATGTCTGCACTATGACAGACTTGATGTAAATCTGCAGGTGCTGTGCAACAGCATCCTTAACAGTTAAGTTATCCACAGTGCATGATTTTATAGGATGTCTGGTTTAGCTAGTTCTGATGTTGATGAAGCGTCTTAACTGTACATTTAGTTGCAGAATTAATAGCACCACACCCCAAAAAAACCTTCCTTGTTTATTTGTTTGGGTGAATAGTTTTGTAGGGATTTTAATGTATTGGGAGTAAACTGTTTTATTTAATGCTTTGTATTTAAGATCTACCACCGAATTTATTTTTGAACAGTTCCTACTTGGTTACTTGATTATTTATCTGTTATGTAAGTACAGTGAGTTTCACCCACAGGACAACTTCAAAGTCCAGTTCAGTGCAATATTTAATATGGCTGCCAGGTTAATTAATAGATCTGGTCTGGAATACAAAATACATCTAGCCTCAAGTATAAGGCCTGCAGACTTCCTGGAGCTTACTGTTTTATCTTGAGATGTTAACTTACTTGTATTCTGAGTATATACGTATCCTACTCTACAAAGCTATCCCATTGGAAGTATTTATCATACTAACAGTCTTTAGAAATAGTTTAATCCATTTCATATTGAAAGAGTAGCTAACCAATGGTTAGCCACAGCAAACATATCTTGTCTGTCTCCAGAAAGGCTTCAGGCTCAAATTTGTAACCTAGATGTAACCAGCTATTTGTTCTGATAACTTTTTTAGGTTACGTAAGGTCTTCAGTGTCTCAGCTGGGTCTGATATTTGTAGTCAGGAGCTCCATCTGTATGTCTGTAATGAAACCATTCAGTATTCGATTACCCGTAGACAGTACAGAGGACTGTAGAAACTGCAGATGTTATAAGCAATGTACTTTTTACACTACCATCCAGATCTTATTGAAACATGTTTAAATCTGTAAAAGATGTCTGTCACAGCAAATGTGAAATATAGATCTTCACTTGACACAAGGAAGATAACTTTATTGTGAGGACAGTCAAATATTGGAACAGATTACCCAGAAAGACTGTGAGTGAAGTCCTGAGCAACTTGGTCTGCATTTGGTTTTGACACTGTTTGGATTAGGAGGTTGGACTACATGACTCCCTGATGCCTCTACCAATGTGAACTATTCCGTGATTCTCTTCAGTAACAGCATGTGAATGATGTCTTTGGAAAAAGGAAATATCTTTGTTAATAACAAGTCTTAGCCGTTTGAGTGGAAGTGTGTGTGGTGTGATTTGCAAAGAGGGAGAATGACTTGAACACCTTTTTTCAGTTCTCTGTTCTACTGGAAACTCAGGTGGTGGATAAGTCATTTAGGGTCTGAGAGTTAGTGAATCTTCTCAGAAAGGCATTAATTGATCTTCCTTCCCAGAACACGCCAAGGACAATTAAGGATTGAAGAAGACTGTGGCATTTGGGTACTAATGGTGACAGAATATGTGTGATGCCAGCCTCTAATTTGACTGTTTTGTCTTGCAGCATCAGTATGTCTGTGTTTTTTCTGGTTTTGCTCTCTGAAGAGACTATGTGATTAGTGGAATAATGGATAGTGCTGCTGTTCTCTACACTGCTTGGTCTATTTCTGTATACCGCTTAGATGTTCTGCAATACTGTAACATCTGCCTTTAGAAACTAAGAACTTCATCTTCATTCAACATGTTAATTGAAGCTTTGAGTGATTTTCTTATTCAAGACTTAAAGAGGAGACAAACTTTTTAAGTTTTAAAAGGAATAGAAACCAAGCTGTTCTTTATTTTTCACTCCTCACAAGTCTTTAAACTATTTACTGCCCTGCAAAAGATAAAAACCCTGCACCTACTAGCTGCAGTTTAAGATGTGGGTAAAACTAGTCTTGACCTGTCTTACTTCTAATTAATAAAATTGATGAAGCATCTCACACTTGGTTCCACCTTCTCGGCTACTATGTTGTGTTGGAATATTTTGGCCTTTACATAGTTTGCATACTTTAATCTAACACATCTACCTGAATTCAAGAAGGTTAGAATGACTAACTTTGTTGGATGGTGTTGCCTTTAATGCAGTTCTGCTCTTCAAAATGCAAGTCTAATCTACTGGCTTTTAGAAGGGAAAACAAGTTTAATGAGGGAAGATAGTTAAAAATGGTCAGCGACTCATCTTAAACTTCTCCCAGGGCCTGGCTTACCTCAGTTAGACTTTCTAGATCATGTAAAAGCCAGTGCCTTCTCTCTTCACTATTCTTATGACAGCAGCAAACAGGCTTGTGGATGTAATCCAGGTTAGATTTAACCTGTGTCACTTTACCAATCTGCTTAAACCTTGGACTCGTACAAGAAAGGCATGACATGAATGGCTGAGGTAGAGAGAATAAACTGTTGTTTGGCGGTTTTGACTTATGCTGGTTTAAATTTTTCTCATAGTTTTGTGGTAAATTGTCTTTGCTTTTAAAATTTTTTTTGGAAACATGAAATATGGTCCATGACTCCACTTAAAAAAAAGTCTGATAGATGATGCAAATAAAAGGATTATAATTGTATTAAAGTGCATATTGATGGTTTTCTTGATTTCTGTAGTTAGACCTGATTACATGGTTCTGAAACTAGTGTGATAAGCTTCTCTCATCAAAATATCAGGATAATTTTCCTAGGGCACATAAATTGAAGAGCTAGAAAACTGAAGGAGAGAGGCTCTAATCAATTAATTGCACAATGGCACAGGCTTTTAGATTGCCATGAACTGAGACACTGGGGGTGGGAATGGGGATTCATGAAGAACCACAATCTGTTGAAATTTGATTGCCATTACCATATGTAATCTGCTTATTTCATGAAGCTATTTCTAGATCTCAAATTAGGCTACACTTTTGTCATTTAACATCATTCATGGCATTTTCTTGCTCTGCATTACTTGTTTTCTGATGTCTATATTTTAACAAGATACTATTATTTGTGTTTGTATTATTATACTATTATTTGTGTTTGTATTATTTGTATTAAAATAGCTAGCTAAATGCTGTTTTAGACTTGCCCAATAGGTGTTAAAGGCTAACTTACACCTACAGGTATATTCTCTATATATGCTGTACATGAATATGTATATGTTAACAAGATACTATAGGGTATGGTGTCCTTCTGTAATCAGTTTTAGATGTGTGCATGTAAATAGCACAAAGTTAGCCTGATTTAAGACTTAATTTCCTGCAGAAACTAAGAATATTGCTAAAGAAAGCAGATTGAAAATAAATGGAAAATATGCTCTAAAACTTTAATTTTCAGAGTAGTGATTGATAATAAAATGTGGCTTCAGTATAGCATTAAAATGAGGCTTGTTCCTAAGTGGAAAGGAAGGCAAATTTTAATGACTTCTCTTGAAGTGAAGTTTTTGTGTCACTCTACGTTGGCTAGTAGCACTGAATCACCTGTTGTGTGCTGCATGACTCCACCACCACCATGGTGCTGTTCCTTCTGGAGAAAGGCATGATGAAACCCATGGATGCATTTATGATAACATCAGTGTAGACAGTTCTCTTTCAATATCTGCTGTGTGGCAAGCACTTCCTTGTGTTTTCTGTCCTTTGAGCCCAAAGTGTGGGCAAGCTTGCCCTTTGTTTGCTTAGGTAAAAAGTGTTCTCACATGTAAAAGGACCTAAGAAAAATGACGTAATAATTTTGTAGCAAAGTATTCAGAATTAATCAGTGTACTGATCTGAAGGCTGTTTTCATATATTTGCTCAGTATGGCTTGTTTCCACCAAACTGATGGGTTTATTCTCTTTCTTAGGGTTGTCTGCTCTTCTGTAGAAAAACCTTGAAAGGACATGCTCCTCTTTTTGATCTTGTCGCTTGGGACTGCCTGCTACTACGAGTGCAGTGATAGCAAGAGGATGGAGAAAAGAAAACATACTCTGTCTCCACTTCTTCTTTTCTCTTCCCTCCTCATAGTGCCAAACATTACAGGAACAAGTGCAACCTTAGGCTGTTCTGCCTGTGCTTCCCTCTGTGTGTGTATGTGTACAAGTACAGAGGCTTTACATTAACCTCTCATTCTGGAGATATGGCAGTGTGTGCTCTGAGTGCTGTGTTTTTTTAAGTGTTGTTTTTTTTTTAGGGTAACACTTCTCAAAACACTGTATGAGAAGGGAGAATTATCTTTGCTTGTGACACTTGACAACTGTGCTTTCCTCTCCAGCAGTCCCACTTTCCTCAGGTTGTTGAGGCTGCTTGGTCACTTAAGAATGGAAGTTGTTGTTAGTGCTCCTCCAAATCGTTATAAGGTACAAGAACAAAATGAAGTGTCTGTTACCTAGGAGTATTCACTAACCTGTTGAATGACCATTTGACAGTTTTTTGCATACAGCTGGTCAATAATGCTTTCAACAAGCCAAAATGTTGTAATAAGGCTATTTCATCCATCTTTCCTTCCTGGTAAGGAATCAAAAAGTAAGCCATGGTAGTATTTCTCTTGGGGTATACGATATTGTAGAAGGTTAGGGCACTGTCATATAGGATATATTAGTAGGCCTGAGAATTAAAATGGAAGCCTGGCACTAACAGTACTTCACATGTAGTTTAGCTTTCAGTACAGGTTTTTCTTCAGTTGGACTGTTATGAGCTGGGTAACAGAATTTTAAAGTCTTGCTGTCTCTGTCTTTCAGACACATGTCAAATTCCAGGAACAAGCTCTGCTAACTTCACTTGCAGTGCCAGCACAAAGTCTTCACTTCCCAACTATCTGTATGTTTTTATCCTGGGACAGCTGCTGCTGGGAGTTGGAGGAACTCCACTATACACTTTGGGAACAGCTTTTATTGATGATAGTGTCCCAAAACACAAGTCTTCCCTTTATATAGGTAACTTTTAAAACTGTTTATACCACATTGTCTGGATAGATCATAGACTGCAATGACTTACAAATGCTTTTATGAATTCCTCTAAATCAACCTTGTCATTAAGTGCATAAAGTGTTTTTATATCAGTTACTGTGCAAGGTAGGTATTGGACTGCTGTAAGTGTCAAGTCTTTTCAATAGTTATTTTGCAGAGCATGGTAAGGCTGCTTTGCGTACCTCTCCTGCTGTTTTTCATGTCAGTAACTGAAAGTGATTAAGTGGTTAAAGTAGCCTGCCTGTTAACAAGAGTAAGTTGTAGCAAAAACTTGCTTTTTACTGTCACAGGTTTTGAAAACTACCGTATCAGGTCAGAAAACTACCATATCAGCTACTGACCTGAATGCAGTAAGAATGCAGTAAATCGTACTGCATTCTTTAACAGTTTTATTTGTTTACCTTCTAACAGTAGGCTGTCCCCTCAGTGCAGGGACACTCCGGTGCATCATGTGATTGATGCAGTTCTCTAGCCACATAAATATTTGGCACTTCAGGAGGAAATACTGGAAGTATCTTTTCTTAATTGAAAGTAAAGGATTGCCTAGAAACATGGAGAATATGTTTGTCATACTGTTTGAAAGCTAAGGAATACTAATTCTTAGCAGTGGTTTTTAATCTTTCCAGTCAGCATTCTCCAGGTTATGTGCATTTTTACCAAAAAGTTCATTGCAGTCTAGGTGTGTTTTCTATGGGTATGAAGATATTTGCTATTTTCCCCCTTTAGGTGTAAGATGATAAAACTGTTATCTACAGTGGTAACTCACTGGAGGAATTCAATGCATCTTAGATTCCTGGACAGTGTTCCAGACTAAATCAATATTTAGTTGGCGAATTTGAAATCATTATCTATTTGCATACAATTCTTGGTTAATTTTTCCAGGCAAGCTAGTTCATTTGATGCCAACAAATAGAATAGTTGCATATGTTAAATCTTAAATAACTAAGCTTTTATTTTTGCTGTTTGTTTATACTGAGAGAGAAATTATCACACTTTTTTCTGAGGCCAGTGAAATAAATAGAGCAGAATTAAGGCTGTCTGCATGATTAGGGCATCAAGAAGTGGCTTGAAAACTCAGGACAATGGTGTCAGCGTTCATACTTAAAACATAACAGACCAATACAATAAATTTAATGCCTGTGCAATCTTCAGACAACAGCTGAGTTCAGAAGAACAGTGTATTCTGCCTAGTGTAACAAAACTAGAAGGCAAGTGAGTGGACAGGTAGCTAAATTAAACCTTAATTATTCTTCTTGCTTTTATGCAATGTATTGAGGATTTAAAAGATATTGCATTGCTTTGCCTAATGCAAGAAGGCTTGTGCAAGGCAGCAAAAAAAAAACTCCTAAAACTTTCTGCTACTGTCTGTAAATAGCTGCTGGTATCTTAGACTACAAGCTTGCAACTCATAAGCTGGTAATTTCTTCTGAAACTGGGCATGTTTTCATGAGGACTGTTCTCCTCTTGCTGAGCTGAGCCATCTATATCTAAAGCCAATGAAAACTTAAGCAATTCCAAATGGTAGTTTAAACTGAATGGTCTGTATGAAGAAATAGGCACCTTCTACACTAGGTTTGAAGTTCTGTAGGTTGAATGTGGACTTAACTCAGGAAGATATTGTGAGCATGTCGTTATTTCCAAAATACAGGAAAACCTGGGATATGTCAACTCAATATTTATTTTGACTTGCTGATACTTGAGTGTCCCCTTCTGTGTCCCTTCCCCCTCTTGCACCTCTCTCAACTCCCCCCCATCATTCTTTCTTGCAGTCTAAAGTGAGTGAGATAATACTAAATACCCAAGATACACTCTGGAAACAAATGAGAAATCTAGATTCTTGAACCTGGGGAAAAGCATAGAATATCAGCAGTAAGGATGCATGTCGTACCAATTGTTTAGACAGATCTAGTTACTATTAGTTGTAAGCCTTTATCTGCAGAGACAGTGCTCCTGCCAGCAGTGCTAAAGTACCACAGAAATCTGGCTGGTAGGCCAGGGAGACTACTGTGATGTCGAGAACATCTTGTCCTAAGGCCAAAAAAAATGGGTAGACCTGAGAGTGCTCTTTAGTAGGAACTTTGGGGTTTTTTTAGAACTGTCAGGAGACCTGGCTTTGTGTTTTAAGGCTCATCTCAATAAATGGAAGTGCACATGATTCTCAATAAACTCAAGTGGCAGATATTACTCCAGTCAAATTTTACTGGAACCCTGGCTTTTGATCTTGGCAGATCTGAAAACCAACATAAGACTCTAAAAGTATAAATATGTAGGTTCTTAAAGATTGTAGGCATGTACTATTAACAACTGATGCTTATAACAACCTCACTTCAGAAACTTTTTCACAAGCTAGCTTGGGATTGGAGGCACAAGATGTGCAAAAGGCAATCTAACAATTAATAAAGATGCTGTCAGTGAAGTGTGTTTTGCTGAACCTCTGAGTTGCAGCTTTTAATGAGAGCTGCAAATTTTCTTGCTGAGGGACAAGTACAAATTTTGTCTTCTACGTGCTATAGTCAAAGTAATGACAGTGAAAGAACAGGTTGAATTAACAGAAACCATTTGGTCTGAAGTTGATTTAGGAATTTTTTTTAAAAGGAAGCTTTAAAAATGTATGGTGAACTTGATGTATTTTCTTTTCTAGGAATTGGCTATGCCATGTCACTGCTGGGTCCTGCTATTGGCTATGTCTTAGGAGGGCAGCTGCTTAATATTTATATTGATATCCAGATCCCAGAAAGGCAAGATACAACGTAGTCTTTTGCTTTCTATTTTCTTTTCCTAATAATTCTTACGAAAATCTTCATATTTTCTCCATGTGAAAAAGCAGAAATTGTGAGGAGTATTTTTGTTTGGAAAATACTGCATTTTTCAAGAGCTTCTTTAACTTTGTAACAAGTTGCATTCACAGGGGCTTCTAGCAAGTGAGTTACTTCCCACAGTGAGTAGTCACTTCATTGTGTGTATAAGTTTCTCTGTAGCGCAGATACTTAGTTCTAGCTTTTTGAGATATTGGGTATTTTAAAGCTGATTAACAAAAATTGCTTTATCTTTTGATTAGTTGCTCATTTAGGGTTAGATTGCAACTGTTGATTTCTTGCCCAAAAAGTTTCCCTGAGGTGGCATATGAGTGGTAGGATACTGCTGCTTCCCTCCTGGGGAGGAGCTTGCCAGAAAATCTACCAGTTGAGTAACAGTCCACTATTCAAAGAATAATGTTATAAATTGTACTACTGTCCAAACCAACAACTTCATTTACACTTTTATTTCCTGTGTTTTAGGGACTTCAGATCAATGCAATGGCATTCTGAACTTCTGTATTGGCTTTCATATAACTCATTGGTTATGAAGATTCTTTCTAAAACCAACTTTTTTCAGTGTCTTAATAATGCTACGGGATCTTGAAATCAGGGCAAATAGTGGCCTTTAAGTCAGAATGAATTTGACTAATGAATTGAAAGCTATATTTGATAGAATGCAATATTATTATAATAGAGCAGATGAATGTGCTTTAAACAACCAAACAATAAATTTAATACATGTAGTAAACAAAATATGACAATATTCAAAGGCTTTTTGTTAAACCAGTATTAAAAAAAAAATTCCAGCTCACTAACATCTGCAATTGCTGATTTGAATTTATGAATGGTAAACCTGCTTTTTCCAAATTATTTTTCTAGTACAAAGATGGACCAAGATGACCCACGTTGGCTTGGAGCATGGTGGATAGCATTTCTTGCATGTTTTTTTGCAATTTGGCTTCTTATAATACCTTTTTCATGCTTTCCAAAACACCTACCAGGTAAACATTTAACAGTAATGGGCTACTTTGGAAGAGAGATTTGTTTATACTTGTGGGTTATAGACTGCTGGACTGAGTGATTGATTCCTCTTTGATTTTGTTTCCCAGTTAACTGTCTGGCTAAAACCTGATAAGTACCTTGTTTTCAATATGCAGCCTTTAAAACAAGGTGAATGAGCTAGAGGGAGGATCTTGTGTACATAATGATGTATGGTAGGACTGGAAACAGGTAGAGCGTGGAAACTGGTGGTCAAAGTCTGGAAGATGCTAACAGCTAGGCACCCAGCACTGTATTTAAAGCTGCTATGTTACCTACCCAGAATCATAAGGAAATTCCATTGACTTAACTCACACCTTGTTGTCTTTGACTCTATTGCCTTATTGTTTTGCATGGAATAAGCATGAATTGAAGTATCCCAGTTACTATGCTTATCTGGAAAGAGAAATCACGGAGGAAAAGAAACAATGAAGTAGGGAACTGGAGAGAATGTGATGATGACTTTAAAAAAAAAAAAAATTGAATGGGCTTCAGGATCATCTGAAATTCTTAGGATATCCCTGATAATACCTTCTTACAGTCAAGGCCTTCCAATGGAAGCATGATGCCTTCAGCCAAATTCTTCTTTCCACAGCAGTACACTATTGATCTTTTTATGGATATGTACCAATAAAATATTGGAGAAGACTGCCTGAGCTAGTTTTCCCAAGGAAAGGAAAAACTTACTTTGATGCTTTTTCTGACTTCAAGCCTAAAAGCACAGGTATTCAATGTTTTCATTGTCAATAAATGTGCCTATTTGTAGGAACAGCAAAAATACAGGCTGAAAAAATCTCTGAAACTCATAATGATGGAAGTGAGGCATTTGTTGAGACCAAGAATATTGGAAAAAGTTGTAAAGACTTTCCTGTGGCTCTCCTGGTAAGGAAATCTTAAATTTACTTAAAACTGATATATTCGGAGAAATGAAATTATTTTTCAGGTAATATGTAAGTGTTTAGAAAGGTAATTGCTGCTTTATGTTGTGATAGGGAAGTCTCCAGTGCTACTGTTAATTTAATGCATATTTGTTTTGTTGATGCTTAAGATTGTTAAAGCAAGAAAAGCATATTAGAGAAGTTCCACATGACAGTATCTAAAATATGATTTCTAGTTTACATGGTACTACAATGAAATAATTTCCTGAGTGTTATGCTGATTTCCCCCCGTAGATACTGTTGAAGAATCCAGTGCTTATGAGTCTAATAATAGCCAGTTCTTCAGAAGCTTTAGTTGCCACTGGCTTTGCCACATTTCTACCAAAGTTTATAGAAAATCAGTTTGGAAAGACGTCAAGTTTTTCAGCAACTCTTGGAGGTAATGGAGCTTTTCATTTTTAAATCTGAAATACATTGTGCTGAATGCTTCATTAACATAGGTGGAAGCTTATATAGGCATCTTATGTTTGTCTGAGGTATTTGTGAATATACTTACATGAAATGCAGTTTTCACAGCAGAAACAGTATTTTTATATTATTCTTGCCTGCCCTATGAAAACCCTGGTGCTTAATTCATCAAGGGTGCAAAGCTGCTCATTGTCTGTAAGTTCAGAAGGCGATACTCATATTCAAAGTAGGAGAATTTTGTGTGCTGCTGACACTGTAATTTATTCCTTTCTTACTCTTGGTGAAAAACATTTAGTTTTCCTCATTTAAAATCAGCTGAAGGAGCACTAAGCCTTAGTCCCTACTAAAGAAAGCAAAATGAAGGGCAGCTGGAAAAAAAGCAGTGCTTACTGAAAGTAAGGGGTAGACTTGGCCTTTCCTTCTTCAATTCCAGTATAATGTTACAGTGAGCTTACAATAAAACAACTGATCAGGATATATTATTATAAAACTATTGTGTAACTGCTGCTATATTTGGCTTACTGTCACTTATTCCTATTATCTGATATGCAGAAGTAATCGGTAGTACAGGGGAAAACTCTGAAAAGCTGCGTATTAGAGAAACAAATAGAAAAATCTGATGGAAGAGCTGCACTAGGTAGGGTCATATGATTAACTCTGACACAATTATTTCTGAAGAACAGCAGCCAGATCAAGGCAGATAGGCCAACAATGGCAACAATATGGCAGACATAATATTTCTGGAACACGTGTTGCTAAATTACTTCAGCTGTATAGTGCTGAAATATAAGTATATGCTAGCTTTCTCCAACAGAAATATGTTTGGGAGAGACTTTCTGAATGACTTACTCCCCTAGATAATACTAAATGGTACTATCACTATTCAGACATCATTGCTTCAAAACAAAGTATTTGCAAGTTTTACATAGAAATACATTGGAATATATGCTCAATTGTTAAACAGTAATCAGCAATGAAGTGGAAAACAATGTTCCTTTTCTGTCAATAGACCTTGTCTGAATTTCTTTTTAATTTGAGTTGAAAGTGTTTGTAGTGTTAATCAAATGTACAGCTTTAAAGAAATGCCTATACTGATGTTGAAAGCTAGCTGTACTTTAACTAATGTCCAGCTAGCTAGTCAAAGAGTTGATATGATCACTGGTGACAGTGTAAACTACCTGTGACGGTGGGTGCATGCAGCCTGTGCAGTTCTGCTACCATACCTGAACTCTCTTTAAAATTAGCTGTCTCAGGTCAGTGCAAGTTACACTGAGTGCTGAGTTGTATTGTAGATTAGCCATATAAGAATACTCAGTTATGTATCTGGAGTCCTAATAGTCTGCAATGATTTATTCTCTTTGCACTATATGGACTATGACAGCAAAACTCACCCACTAATGTAGGCTCTTTTTAATCTTTCTGTAGATGCCTTATTGTACCTTGTGCTGTCTCTTCTATAATAGTGATTATGTTCTCTTACTAAAAGTTCATAACACAAACGTATAACAAAGAAAATGGACATGTGGAAAAAAAAGTGAAGCAATGAAAGAGTTTTTTCTGTTTTCATGAAGTGGCCTACTGGTGTTCAGAGATTCTTGCCCAGTATGTAGTACTCTTAAGTAATCTAGTTTTGCTGTATCGAACTTGGGTTTTGGACAACTATGAATTACGCTGTCACATTGAACGTCTGGCAAGGCTCAAGATGATGTAAGGGTAGAATAAATTGCTCATGCTGACAGATTCTTGTAGGCTGGTTTGAAAATGACATTACATAGGCTGCATCTTAAGATACAGGTAACTGTTGTGGTTTTTTTTTTCTTAACATAAAATTGCACTCTAAATTGCTTCACTAATCATATTTTGCATTTTTGTGTAATTGCTGGTGTCTTGTTTTCCTCTAGGGCTTGTATTAATTCCAGCAGCAGCACTAGGCCAAATCATAAGTGGCATCTTGGTTTCCAAGTACAAAATGGATTGCAAAAGCATAATCAAGTTCATGATAGGCACTTGTTCAGTGGCCCTACTATTAAACACAGTGTTTTTATTTGCTAAATGTGGGAATGAACCTTTCGCAGGTGTCTCTGAAACATATAATGGGTAAATATATTTTAATGCACTCTTGGGTTTGGTGTTAATGTTTAAAATAAATAAGCCACGTCACAGAATATGAAACCTTTAAAAATGTCATACTTTGCCTTGATGTATGAAATGGAAATGTTTTATGGAACTCTAAAACCTTGTTCTTGGAATCTTTATGTAATAGACAATTAAGAAAATTATTGCAAAATGTTCTAAGCAGACTGGACCTACTCAACAAAAAAAATCCCAGCTTCTATAACCATTCTAGGTGTAGTAGCCATGGTATTAACTACAGCTAATTTTGTATCTCTGTAGAAGTAGCGTGTCTTTTGTATCTTGTTTTATTAACCAACTCTTGACAGTCTGGACAGTTTGTTCCTGGAAGGAGTCTGCCATGTGCAACAATCTCATGAGAGGGCACTGAGGTGCACTGCAACTTTAAACTAACTGCAAATTTTTCCCTAGAAAAACCAAGACATTATTGTAGCATCAGGTTCTAGCACAACTAGCCTCCATTTACAAAGGAAGCTTTCTTTTTTCCTGGTAAAATAGCTGCTAGAGGTAGAAGTTTAGTGCAAAGAGAGCATAGCTCAGTGACTGAAGTTGAAGAATGAAACGCGTGCAGTAACATGGTTAACTGAAACATAATTCAAAATATTTTTGGCTATCATGTTTAGAGAAGTCTTTCCTATACAACATGTACTTTTCTTTCCCTTTAACAACGCAATTCTCATTCCTAATGAGAATGCAGTCTGTCACTCATTTTTAGATATTTGTAGTAATTGTAATACAAATTCTAGAGTGAATTTTCTTCCTGTTGCTATGATTAAAGTTTGCTCTGAAAACCAGTATGCCAGTGGGAAAAAAAATTCAGAAAAGTGATGTAAAAATGAAGCAAGATTAAACATAAATATCTGCAAGGATAAGCATTCTTTAGATAATGGATTTCTAGGTCCTCTTTTAAAACTTCGACATTGCATGTATGTGATCAAATCACCAGCATAGGTACTATGTTGTATAAATGCCCAATCATGCCTTATTAAAGAATTAACTATAAGATTATAATGTTTCAATTCTCATAGCTTTAAATAGTACTCATTTCTGTAGTATGAGCAGTGTTTAAAAGCAGGAGAAAGGCAGTTACCTGTGCCAAAACTGTGCTCTCAAGGGGTTGGTTACTCTGTCATGAATTGACAGAGCCAGAGGCAACTCCAGCTGTTTGAGGGTCTGCCAAAGAGCCAGGTGCTGTTGTGCAAAATAACTCTAGTAGGCTGGTAGCTAGGGCCTGCTAGCTGCCATTTGGAATAATCATAAGCATGAGCAGCGTGCTGTGCAACTGCATGAGTAACTTATCAATACTTTTTTTGTTGTTTTCTGCAAATCCCCCATTTTAGAAAAGGGTTAGGTACCACTGTCTAGTACAAAAGCAGAATCTGTAAGTTATGCTCCAATGCATAAAAAGGCATTTGAACCTAAATAGGATGGGGAAGAGGATCTTTGCACTTCACTGACACAGTAGCATGAAGTGCACCATGAAAATGCAGAATATGGGTTGGGAGAGAAATTGGTTTTGTAGCCTGTAATGCACATGCAAGTTGGTAATCTAAGAAAAAATAATAAATATCTAATGAATAGTGAGGCTTATATGGTTTCTTCACTTGTTATTTAGCATGCTTTTTACTGACTTAAAATGAACATATAACAAATAGAAGAACGCAGGAGAATCACATCTTAGGCATGGAGGCAACTAAGTGAACAAATGCCACAGAATATGAAGGCTACTAAATTTTCTAGGTCCTTTAAGGGAATCATTGATGTAACATAACTGACAAATATTACAAAATGTTCCCAAAAATACGAAGTGTGACATGAAAGACTAACTAGATATTTTTCAGGTTTCTCATTTAGGTAAATATGAAAACAGTAAAACAGAACCTTAGGTCAACAGGACAGAAATTCAGAGGGCTTGGAGGCAGTAATGACTGAAGGCATTTAGGCTTCCAGTTCTCTAACAAAGTAGAAATTTAATGCCATGATACCTTAACAATTCATTTGTATTTCCTTTTCCAGAAGGCATACAAAATGAATAAACCAAATTTCATACACTGGTGACTAGAAAAAAAAACAACCTTAAAGCCCAAGTTAGCACTCATTCTGATTCAATCTTTACAACTTCCTGTATCAATTGACAGTATAGTCAAAGGCCAGTATTGACATTTGACACTTAAAACATGACACTGCTTTAGTGTCTGAAAAAAACGCTAGCCGTAAGATTACTGTGGACACTTCAGAACTATGAAAACCAGGATGCAGACTTCGGTTGTGGAAAGTTTATAGTTACATATTGAGCAAAAGAGTCTGTATGTAGCAACTGAATACTGAAGAGGTTTTATAGAAAATAGTATGTGAAATTATCCATATTTCTATACCAGGTCAATGAACACTGACAAAAGGTACAGCTGAATTGGTTTTCATCCAAAGTTAAATGCAGTTAACTTGTATTTAGTAGTTTTGTGTAACTTCAGCAGTTAAGTAGTTTAACTGTTGCTGAAGACCTCTGATCTACAACGATTTGGAGTTAACCAATCCTGAAATAACTCTCTCCACTCAGTATCCATTATAAAAAATGGTTCAGTTTTATCTAATTCACTGTTACATGTTGGACTATAGTTTGTTGAAGTGACCTTTGTCGGAATAGTTAGTGGCACTAATATAGTTCCAGTTTTGAAACTGCTTTCCATGAAGGAATAAGCAACTAAAATATGTAGTAGTAGGTTTAACAAACTTATAAGCTTGTGGAAGAACAGCCAAGTGTCTGACTCCTGCTTATGCTATTGAACAAATGCTTCTGAAAGAATAAATTGTGAGAGTGTTCTGACAGTTGTCTTGGAAATTGATGCAGATTCATTTTTGTGGAGATCTTGAAATCCTTCATGGCAAGCATTCTCTTTCTATTGAAAAATAGCCTGGGGGTGGGGGTGGGTGGGAAAGCTTTTGTAAGTTTATTACCAGAACCAGATGAGTACATGATCACCTTTGAGTTCAATATGTTAATGAACAAAGTATATTGTTTGTTGTAACTCTGTTTATTACTAAACTAGGCTATAAGCAGAATTAATGTGGTTTACTTCATCTAATAAACACTTCAAAGAATTGTTTTTGCCAAATTCTTTTGCCCAGTATTTCCTTGAAAGCTTGAAGGAACAGAAATGCAGTGACTATTTCTGTAGTTCTGTTCATTCCCACAAGTCTCTGGGACTCCTTGTTTTGCTTTGCTGTGGGGGAAAAAAAAAAATACCCAACCTATAGAGCTTTTAAAGACCATTTAATGGTCTCATCTACTAGGCTTCTTCAGAAAAGTGCTGTTTGAACAAGAAGTTCCATTTCATAAGAACCTATGTACACTGACGTGTATTTCTTCTGGTTTTTGATATTTCTCTGACCATGCATACCTAAAGGTTCAGCCCCTCTTTGTAGATCGGGGAGGGAGGCATTGTCTGCACATGTAAACAGGACAAATGTTGCCACTGAATTGATTAAATACTTCTAGGCTTGACATGCCTCATAGGCTAACAAGGTACTGTATGAACAAACCTGTGATTAGTGAATTTGCTTATGATGCACTGTAGTGCTTTAAGCAAGAGCAAACTAACTTTGATTCCTCTATGTATGAAGAATGAACTAGTGTAACTTAGTAGGGTAACTGTACTACAACCAAATGAAGTAATAGGTAGTTATGATGTCCCTAATATTCCATATGCAGTTTGAATTCTATGTAAGTAATCAGCTTAATTCCTAGATAAATTATTTCTCTATTAGTATTTGTGGCTATCTTAAATTCTCTTGAAGAAACCTGCCTTTTAGGTAATGAATGTGGAACTTTCAGTTTCCAGTACAATATTTAAACTACTGGCAGTGTCAGCATCCTGGTTTCAGCTGACTGAACTCTTAACCTGTCAAGCTTCTTTACTTATTACATGCACTACTATTAGAAAATCAATGAGTGTTTTTTATTCTCTCTAATTATATCTTAAGAAGGTCCACCCACATCCCAAACTGATATTTCATACTAATAATATAGTGGGACTACTTGAAATAGAACCATACTATGGCCTTTACTGGAAGTAAATGCCTAAATTGAGAGTAGTTATAGTAAGCAGGAGTTAAATTAAACTCTTGCTTGTCATTAGTTATTCCCTAAACAGACAAAGAAAATCCTTAAGGTCGTTTTGGGTGTGATAAGATTGTATGTATGTCATGGCACTCTGCAGTTAGCATGTACAGTTGTCTTGGTGCTGGAACAATCTAGACATCTGCATAGCAGTGTTAAAAATAGTAAAAATGCAGTGGGTTTGCCACTGGACTTGAATCCAAAACAGGAAAAAAACTTAAAACATGATCAATAGAATAAACACAAAACACTGCTTTTAATCCTGTTGCATTTTTTCTTAAAACTGTAAATTGAACAAATTCAAGTGTATAAGCGTGGGAGAGAAGAGGTGATACAAGAATTGGGTTGAGGCACAGAATTTTGTCATCTGTTTTGTAAATGGAAATTGGAGGAATAATCTATGTTAGTAATAACAGCACAAAAATACCTAGGTGCAAAATAAATGGGAATTCCCTCTAGAGCTGTAACTACTAGGATCATGGCTTATTCTTAAACAATTAAGTGCATAAATCACCTGAATAGAATATTTTGAGATTTAGTATCCTATAAATACTGTGTTACTTATTTACATATCTGCTGTTTTTAAATTACTTTATTAAAAGCCTATTATCTTCTACCTTTCAGAACAGGCACGCTGTATAACTTGACAGCACCATGCAATGCTAACTGCAGATGTTTGCGCTCTGTGTACTACCCAGTTTGTGGCAGAGATGAAGTCCAGTACTTTTCTCCCTGTTTCGCAGGATGTACATCACATCTTTTTAACAACGTGAAAAAGGTACTTTATGCTACAAGGATTGCTGATGTGGTCTGTTCTGGTTTCCTGCAAAATGCATTCTGTATCAGAAACATTCTTCCCTTACTATGACAGGAAATCACAGTACTTCTGAATCTAACTGGTAGTTACTACAGGAAAATTGGTGTGGATTGGAAACACATGTCTAAATAGGATGAATGTTGGTATGTGTCAGAGTCCAATACTCTCTGACCAGGTGCTTTTAGATATTCCGCTTGTGGAAGGTGTAATGTTTAATATGAAATTTACTTATTTGATGACAGCTGATGTTACACAGGATGTCTAATTTAGCAGTGATACAAAATAAACTGAAAACACAATACAAATGTAAGTTATGCTTAGCAAAATATAGGAATTGCAGTACACAGTTCAGTCACAATACCAGTGTGATTCCTATTATTGGCCTCTATACCATGCTAACCATCACAATTCTGGGCGTCGCCAGTTGTTAGGAAGGCATACATGGGTTGAAGCCAGCTCAAGCTCTCTTTTGAAATTCTTCTGCTAATTGTCTGGCTTTTTATACTCTGTGTTGGGCAGAGCCACACTCCCCCCATGCTGTAATGGCTAACTAAGGGAGACTTTCATACTCTCTTAATGAACTTGGGGATAAATGTTTACACCACCAGTTGATCCATTCAACTGACATAGCTGTTTCTTTTCTGCATAGCTTTCTGTGTAACAGCTGTAGTCACTCACAGCCTGCATTGTTCTGTGAGCTTCATGGTCATATCACCTCTCCCATCTCCCCTGAGCCTTCTTCCATTGTAGGGTTTTATTGGTCAGTCACAGTGTGTTTCTTACTTATGCAATGTCATGATGTAAATGTTACTTCTACTGAATTTCCTAATGCTGAAAAGACATTAAACCTGAACGTTCTTTAAATAGAATCAGAAAGTAGAAATCAGCAACTGCGTTGACATTAAACTGCAGTTCTTACCTAGATCTTTAAGGATAATGTTTATTGTATGCATGGCAACCTGCTTCTGTGAGTTTCCAAACCTTGAATGTCAATTGCCCCTGATGTGGGAATGGTAAACCATGAAAGTGGCTAGTTATTATCAAGCCTTCCCAGAGAGAACTGAGAGACTTTCCGTGCTTGTCTCTACTAGTACGACAAACTCTTGAGCAGGGATGTGGGAGGAGTGTAGGAAGATCCTAAAGGAAGGCAAGCTGAACCAGGGGGTGCCTCTGGGGACTTTATATATCAGAAAAGTACAATAGTAAATGTGAGGACGTATTATCTAGAAGAAAATGTGGGAGACTGACTACTTCTTGCTGTGAAAACTTCACACTTTACTGATATATATTTTTTTCTTTGAAAACAAACTTGGGTGGATTTAAATGAAGAGCATAAAGCTATTCTATTTGTTCACCTGCTTACAAAAGCAGTCCAACATTGCTTCTGTTCTTTCCTGCTTAAGTCTTAAGAGTAGAGCTCACCTCTCTTCCTGTCAAGTACAGCCCAGTGCAAAAAACAGCCTGTTTATAGCCAAGACTGTCAATCTAGGTGATTCGGAACTTGCCAACATCTCTGAAGAATGTGAACTGTTGTGGTTTGCAAATGAAACCAGTCTCATGGTGTTTAATGTTTTCAAAGAGGTGATTTGTTTGAAAGTTTTATATTTGCAGATTTTTTTTATATCTCTCTATATTGATATTAAAAAAATCTTGTTTTGAACACTGTAGCTTGCCCTTTCTTAATTATATACAGTAACTGGTGTTATCGTCACTGATTTGTAATAAGATTCATGTGCAAAAGTTAGTGTTTCAAGGCTTACTCTGGTGTTTTTGTATAATACGTACTGCATATGGTCACTCCTCTAACTCTAAAATCTTTAGTTTTTAAGTTTTTATGCTTGTACTTGCTCCACACAAAATTGAGTCTATTGCTGTCTTTTCAGATCACAAAATCAAAAATAATTTTTGCTCAGGTGAGCTGGATCACTCAAGTTCTGCTGAATCAGTTTTAAAAATGAGGGGTACAGTACCATATGATCATCAGGAAATGGACTGTTTCCCATACTGTAAACTCAGGGTTTATTCTTTTATTCAGTGTGATGCAGACCCAGTGAACATCTACTGTATTAGTGTCACTTAATGTCATTCCTACAGCTAAATTTTGTTTTATAAATTACTCGTAGGTGTACCACAACTGTTCCTGTATTGGCAAACAAAAAAGAGGAAATGGTTCAGAAGACTATCTCTATGAAGCTGTCCCTGGGAAATGTCCAACACAATGCAAATTTTTACCTTTATTCCTGACCTTCTTCTTTTTTGCTGTTGTTTTTACATTTATGGCTGTTACCCCAACAACTGTGGCCATTCTCAGGTATGGGGTTTTTTTGGGCTGAGAAGTGGGTAGCATTCTTGTGAAGATTCAGATCAGTCTAATTTTTTTTGCTTTGAAATGTGGACTTAAACCACTGTGCAAGGGATTTCCTGTTATAGTACTTTGTGTAGTAAGCAGGAAGTACTTGAAGCAGAGGACAGTCATACCACTGTTAGCTATCTCTGTAATTACATTTGGTTAGTAGATACTGTTTGAATCTGTTAAAAAAAAAAAATCCTACTTGTAGCAAAATCCCTCTTTTATGGGAGCACTCTTGATTGTTTTAGTCAAAGCAAGAAGGAATAAATGCGCCATGTGCTCGGGTGAAGAAAATATTCAACTATCCTGTGTATCAGTAGTGCCAGGATTTCAAATTGTACCTAGAAAAGAACAAAATAGCAATCAGTCTCATATTCTCAGCCTTTGATTCCTGTCTCAGTTCAGAGTTCTGACTTGCAAAATTGTAGTCTGTCAAGAACTATAGACTACCTTTCATATGATATTGATGTTGTATGTATGGTAGTCATTAATATAAAATGTGACAGCATGTATGTGGCTGTTAACCAGTGGTTTGACTGTCTTTCAAATTGCTGAAACTCATATGCATGAAAGCTAGATACATTTTTTTTTTTAATACGTAGTTGTCATTCTGAAAGTAGAGCTGTTTCACTTTATGTTGAAATGTGATTTGTGCCTCTAATACTTCTAGAGAAAAAATGTTCATGATGCATAGGCATACCTGTACTATACACAGGATACTTCAGGAGGGTGTGGTTAGATGCTTTTTTTTCCAACTTTCTAGGCAGGGCGTTAGGGAAGGGAGTGATACACTGCAACAGTGCTTTGTAGTAGCCTCCTGTTCAGGGTTGGTGTAAATCTGGAAATAAGTTTGTCATATTAGTGTGGGGACAGAATAATGTGAAGTGTTGCGTTATTTTCAAAACTGAGCTGACATAGTTTTATTTAGATAATTCTAATTTGGAATTTTGAATCCTTGTACACTTCAACTGAAATGGTGAAACAGTTTTTATGGAACAGAGGTCTGTAGAGCATTTTAAATGTGTAAAAACTAATTTAAATACCTCACATTTAGTTAAGTTACTACGGTGTATTTTGATGTCTTTTCAGTGAGCCTGTTTTGTGCAACTTCAAGTGTAAAACCATGTGTTTGTGACAGTGTTCTAGGGCTAGAAATAACCACCCGCACTATGGAAAACTCATTCTCCTTCCTCAACTTGCCTTTATGGGTAGGGGGATCCTAACAGTGACTGCTGATAACTGCTCATCCTGGATGTTTTTCTATGGCTAATCCTCATACATACTCCAGAATGAGGGAGTAACTCCTGAATATTTCAATACTGTCTTTTTTAGCACTGACAGTGTTTCAGTGATACAGTTTGTTAAAGAAAACAGTGCTGAAACTAAATTGTATAAATTAGGTAAGTTGAGTTGTATTTAATCTTTATGGTAGTATCTTGAAGATGCTGTCAAGATAAAATGTTTGTTGCTAGAGAAGTATCTGAAAGAAACGGGTAGGAGGTAAGGAGGTAAATTCTGCTAGGTGTTAAATCTGTTAAATTCTGCTAGTTGTTAAAATATATTGATTTGTATAGCTTAGGGCCAGAAGTGATTAATTGTAAGGTGACGTGACTATATGTAAAGGTTATGGGAAATACAACACCTTGTGCTGTGCTGAAGCCTAGTCTCCATTCATGTATTCCTTATTTAGGAATAGTAACTCAGGATTGCATTCTAGCACTGTCCTTAAATCTTGGTGGTTCTGTGGAAAAAATGTTCAACAGTGTATCAGGGTGCTGCTGGTAAGCTAGCTTTTTATTAATACTGTTTTGTTAAACTAGTTCAATCTAAAATTCCTTGAGCTGTAGGAGTTGCTTCTATCAAAAGAAGGTTTTGTTTGTCAAAACACCTCTTAAAGTTCTTTGACTTGTTCTGCACATAGGATTTCTAAAACCCTCTGCAATTAACAGGTTAAAAGAGTGTATTAACACAAAGCATATTCACTGAGGGACAAAGCAGAGAAATGGAACAGTTAAAACTTGTTTACCAAGTCTGAAACTGCAAATCTTGTCCACAGGTGTGTGCCAGATAAACAGCGCTCATTTGCTCTTGGAGTACAGTCGGTGTTTCTACGACTACTGGGTATGACTTTCTTGTTGAAACACTTGCCTCAATAATTTACTTGTTCGATGTTTTTCTCAACTTAAAAAATAATGCATTAAGAAGCTTTCAGAGTAGCTTAAAGCAGCCAGTCGTTGGCTTATAGAATACACTTGTTATAAGGCAGATACTGTCTGGATTCAAATTCCTCTTTAAACAGGGCGTGCGTCCTCATTTTAGCCTGTCTTGTTCTTACCGGCATGAACAAAGTACAAGTAATTGTCATTCTTTCAGCAAAAGGCACCTGCTGTCACTTCCCCCAGAAGGAGGCCTATTCTGAAAGCTGAGATAAGAAGTGATGTAATAGAAAATAGCTTCATGTAGTTAATGTCTCAAGTTCCAGAAGTTGAAAGAAAGTGATACTGTCTCATATAGTTGTATCCTTATTTGCCATGCAAGAGGATAGGTGGAGTCTTCTCTCTTCTCCCTCCCCTTTCAATTCCTTTGACTAATTTTAGCCTTTATTGAAATTGTGGACACTTGTACATAAATAATTACTGAGTTTTTACATGGGGAATCTAGTACTTGAGTTCTAAATCTAAGCATTTTCAGGATCTCAGTAAGACAGGTGAATCACCTTAAATAAAATATAAAGCTAAATGAAGGTATTCTCTGAACCACTCATTTGAATTTTCTCAGGCATATTTGAAACTCTTGGTTTTGTCTTAGACACTTTTTAAATGGCATGTGTAATTCAAGACTGGGTCAAGGCTCAGCTACCAAGTAGACTTTTATGTCAATATTTAGTACTGCAGCCATTCCTTGCCAGAGTTCTGCTTTGCTGTATCTGTTGAAACTCCAATTAATCTAAGTCATTCTACAGTAAAGCATTACAAAAGTAAATATCCTTAAAGGTAGAAATTAGCTGGGAGGTAGTATTAAGTGTTGTATGAGGGCTTCTGTGTTTCATTTTACTCAAAGTAAAGATATCTATGGTAGATCCTTAACTCTTCACTGCACTGTGGAGCAAAGGATAGGAGAACTTTTGCACTGCCTGTATTGACTGTGGCTGAAGAAGGAAGCAACTAACAGCATTACTACCAACAAGCTATTTATGCTGTAGACTTGAGGAATCACACAGGGGTCCTAGACAGAAGAGCTGCACGGAGGACATAGCTGCTTGTAAGCTCAAGAGCAGTTTAGGCCTTGAGTAGGTCAGGTAGACATGCAGTGATGTACCTAGAGTGTTTATAATAAAATTGTCTATACCTGAATGCAAAACACTTATGCCTTATAAAGCACTGTTGTAACAAAAATCACACATCTAATAAATTCTACACAGGAATAATTTTAAACATTACTGATTTTACATGAAATTTTTCCTAGAAGCTTGGCTACATCTGAGGGCTGGAAAAAATGTATAATTGAGCATGTTAACATAATATCTTAGTTCTCTGCATTTGAAACAGGTTAGTGTATAGATCTGAGGAAAGGGAATTCTTTTCCTTCAGTTAAAATCCTGCTCCCTTGGTTAGCTGTTTTTCCCCCTAATTTTAATCACATTTTTGTTTTCCAATGACAACTGAGGAAGCTTTGAAAAGCTGAAGTCTTTAAACAAACTTTTTGCTTGATAAAGTGAGAGCTGTATGAAGAATTAACTGACACTCTATGCGTCTTACCTATTAATTGAGAGCAATGGAAGAGGCACACTTGCTAGGTAATATGAGCCCTATGACTTTGGTTAAAATGTTAGGTTTAGTGTGTGGCTATCCCATTTTATCTTCACCACCAGCTTGGCATTTCACTGAATGCATTAAGACCAGTTAAGACTATGTCAAGTAACTCAAACCTTCTAACATGTTGCTGTGGTTTTTAGGTACTATTCCTGGACCAATTTTGTTTGGTTTTGCTATAGACAACAGTTGTACTCTGTGGGATATTAATGAATGTAGAACTACAGGAGCCTGTTGGGTTTATGACAATGAAAGAATGGCTTATCTGCTGATGGGCATAAGTAAGTGACTTCTTCATATTAAGTACATGTACAAGGTAATAGATATACTGACCTTGACTGCTAGATGGGAATTATTTTAAAATAGAATCTTAAACTTCTATTTTTCAGCAGCAGTGTTTTTTAAGACTTTTTTTCCCTAAATAATAAAAATCAAAATGTCATGGAAAGAGCAAGATTACATTAAGTGGATCTTAAAAATGACCTAGAAAACTTTTTTTAATAACAATAATAGAAAATAGTTTTGGTCTTTGTTCATTGTCACACTTTATTTACTGTATTTTAAGGGATTGGTACACATTTCAGTCTTATCTGGCTTGGTCTGTTGGCAGCTTAAGGTCTGAGGAGCTTTCTTCCTCTTGTCATATTCCAGTTATTTTCCCTAAATTAATATCAAGATCTTGAAAATATCTCTGAACACTAGTCAAAACTTGTTTAACAATCTTTTCCTTTCAAGTATGTGAGGTATACATGTCTGGGGGAGGGAAGGCAGGCTAAGCTTGCATCTGTGATAACTGCTGTTGTCTTGTCTTCTGACAACTGTGATATTTACAGTGCATAAACTGAACTGCTAACATCTAATCTTGAAACTGAAAAGGCAGGAGGCACAATTTCAGGGGTTTCAGTATCTCTCAGGCATATTTGTGATAAAATACAATCTCTCCTCTTCTCTCCCTCTCCTTGCCCCCCCCAAGCTGAACAAACGCCACTATGTACCAGTGATGAGTAAATGGAACAACCTTTTAAGGTAGCTGAGGAGAGAATACTTAACAGGTTTGTACGTGGGGAGTTTTAGTTTGTGGCAAAGAGAATATTGATGCAATGAACAAGAGTACTGAAACAAGAAGGAAGACTTGCACTTCATGCTAGAATGGGGTGAAGAAATACAGAACTGAAGTAATGGCCATAGCTGCTGCAAGCAAGAACTGGCAGGCAGGTGAGGGGTCTTAAGTCAGTTGGAAGATTGCCTTTACCTGCTGTTTGCAGTTCATGTAAAATACGTTGAAATTCACAGCATCCATTTAAGTCTCTCAGGTAACTCAGCATGTGAAACTTTAAGTGACTGACTCTTGTCTACTATTGAAGGTGACTGCAACAAGGGCTCTTCTGTTCTTTGCATTCAGGTGCTGTTTGCAAAATCATCACTATCATCTTTGTGGTCATGGCATTATGTTTGTATAAGCCTCCACCAACAAGTGCGGCCCTGTCACAAAAGGATTCAGAAATGGTGTCTGCTATACACACATAAATCATGAGCAAATTGTGCACTTTCAAAAAAAGCCAATAAGAATAAGCACTGCTGCAACACTTGTACCAAAGTTCTTGTATACCATTACCTAAATATAAAAGATCATATTAAATTCTTGAACAACTTAAAATATTTGTGAATATCTGTAGTGTTCTCTAGCTTAGTAAACATACTTTTTAGTATTCCATTGTTTATACTGAAAAAAGTGACACTTAGACTTGCAGTCTGATTTAAAATGTCTAATTTATAACTGAAGTGAAACAAGGTGGAATACTTGGATCAAAAAAAAAAAAAACAGGAGAAGTGAGCTGAACTGGGCTGACTGTGAGCCCCATTTCCCCCTACTTATAAAGTAATACCTAAGTGAGACTGTAGTGGGAGAAAACAAGTAACTTGGTATATTAAAAGGAACTGTGGATGTTTAAATTTGACTTATTTTAATGTGCACATAATCTGGGCTAGTGCCTTAGTTGGGGATTTTGACTGTAGATACACTTGGGAACGTGCAACTATGGACGTGTTTAAAAAATATTTTTACATGTTATCTTAATGGCATAAGTTCACTTTTTAGTATGTGTTGAAAAATGTAAATAGTTGTTATAGGATAGTTGGATTTGTAACAGCAAAATGTTTGTTAATTTAAGTACCTGAGTTTCTACCTGGAACATGTACAGAAAGTTGCTGTCCAGCTGCTTTCTTTAGGCATTGTTAACATTTTTCTATAAGATTTGAAAATAAAACCTATTTTCTTACTACTTCTGTGTATGCTATGTCATTTCTAAGAGACTGAGTTCTAGGCTTTTCAACTCCAAGAAACACAATGCTGAAAGCTAGCAAAGAATATGTATGCAAGCATCAAAAGTGGGAAAATATAGCTTTAGTTGTTCCTTTTGACTTACACACTGCATGCAGTTAAAACTGTATTTGTATAGCACAATGGATGTGCTATACAAATATGCCACTCTCACCAGATATTAAACTATATAGCTTGCTACTGAAATATCATTCAATATTGACTGGAAGTTTTTAATGAGCAAGATATCCTCTGCACATGCTTTACTTTAATATAAACTTCCTTTCTGTTGCAGTGGCTATGCATGTCACCCTTATGTAGCCATGTGTACCCTTTTCATCTGGTTACATGGACTCTACTCATTGACTCTACCAAGATTTTTAAACAAGTGCTACAGCAAAGGATTTTGGCATATGGGTCATGTTTCATCTAATTCTTTAAATGCAGCTGTTAAACTAGGTAGGGGTTAAGTGTACAACTGAAGAAGAGGATCCTCTATGACTACTTTGAAAGAACTATTCAGGAAGTAAAGCAAAATAGACTACACCTCCTGAGAGCCCAAGACTTCATGGCCTTTGAGGCAAAGGAGGAAAGGGCCAGAATACAGCAACTGAATTTACGCTTGCTCTGTTTTGTTGAATGTCTCATGATAACATAGATTCCTGATAAATGAGCTCATAGCAAGATGGGTAAGTTCCCTTGGAAGAACTAAATACTGATCTTCAATGAACTTTGGGAATACAGCCTAAAACTCTGAATTCAGTTTCCAGCCCTGATGTGGTTTGTGTGTGATATAGCAAATCACTTACTGCATGTCTTTACTATGGTTATGGTAGCTAAACTGGTAAACTTACTTCTCTTGTTCTGTCTTAGGCTGTGAGGTCATAGTTAACAGTTTCTGCTGCTTAATGTGATTGCACAGATTACAAAACTTGTGGGGCAGAGCAACAGGAGCTTCCTCTTCTGAGGAAGTTATCAGCACTCTTAGTTGCATTGGAGTGGTTATTTGGGTGGAGAAGGAAGGAAGTATTGCCATGGTGTAAAATTACAGTTAATGACATAAAGGCTGTTGCAATTTATAATCTAGCCTATGACTTGTTAAAAATTACCCTCTCCAGGAAGAGCAGCACAATGATTAGAAGACAGAAAATATTTAGACCTAGGTAAGTTTACCCATTTACCTTGTGCCATAGCAATGTTAAATTAATAGATATAGCAATAGATAGCGGAGAGCAGCAGATGTGTCAAAGGTTTTACTAAGTAAAGGTAAACATCACAGACAAGCTGAACAAGTGTGCGTTAAGTATTTGGACAAGGAGAGTGAATTAAAAACTGCCCAAATGACTGGGCCCAGAGGGTCAAAGCACAAAGTCCAGTTTGAGTCAAGTCACTAGTGCTGTACTCCACAGATCAAAACTGGGGCCAGTCCGGTTCAACCTCTCCACTAGTGACCTGAATGATGGGATAGATTGTTGTCTGGAGCAGTGGCTGATAGACCAGATGGTTGTGCTGCCATCCAGAGGGACCTTGACGAGATGGAGAAATGGGCAAATGGGAACCTCATGAAGTTCAACAAAGGGAAGTACAAAGAACTGCGCACCCAGGGACAAATAACCCCATGTACCACTAACATGCAGGGGGCCACCCAGCTGGAAAGCAGCTCTTCAGAGAAGGCGCTTGGGTTCATGGTGGACAAGCTGACCACAAGGCAGTGATACACCCTTTCGTCAAAAGAGGCTGTATTTGGTTTGTGTGGCAGGGTTTTGGTAGTGTGGGGGAACTACAAGAGTGGCTTCTGTGAGAAGCTGCTAGAAGAGCCAATGCCAGCCAGCTCCAAGATGAACCTGCTGCTGGCCAAGGCCAAGCCAATCAGGAATGGTGGGAGCACCTC